TTTTTAGATATAGCCTCACTATGTAGCCTCTGGCTGTCCTGGAACTCACCAGGCCTAAACCTCAGAGATCCGCCTGCCTTTGTTTCCTGAGTGCTGGGATTAAAGACCTGGACCACCACACCTGGCTCATATGATCCTTTAAATTACAAGAAACAGTAAAACAACAATGATGATGACCGTGTACGAGAGTGAGCAGTGACTCGAGGTGTTTCCGTTTTGCAGACTTTCATGGGTTTTGGAGTCCCAGCCACGGTCATTTGCCTACTTCAGCGTTTAGTTCTCTGCACTCCGGTCGAGGGTTCTGTCTGGCCTCTTCTCTGGTGAACTCCTGCAGCATGGCTTCATAAGCTGCAGATGAGTTGGATTTCAAAGAGCCCCAGAGGCCAGAACCGCCCCTTAGAAATTCCAGCTCCCGGACTCACCAGTGGAGAAATAAGTGAGGCCTCATGAGAGGCGAGTGGGAGCTTCCCCAGCGACAAGGCCCCTTGGGAATTATGGAAGAACAATAGCATTTGTGCCCAATAGACACACGAGCACCCTGCAAGCCAGGGGCCGGAGCCTTGGTTTTCCATACCACAATAGGCCGGGAGGGAACCTTTTGTTCCTTCCAAATAAGTCCGAGAGGGCCTCTTACCTAACACACGCCCTCCATTGAGTTCCATTTGTCTTTGTTTTCTCATTCCCTTTGATTTTTTTAAATAGAGACTTTAGCCTACGATTCTCATACCTTCTCAAATTGAGCTCAGTGATTAGGGTTTTTTTCTTTTTTTCTTTCTTCTTCTTTTTTTTTTTAATTCACCGAGTTATTTCTGGACATCTGGTAGGTCCATCCGTCCCTCCCGCCCTCCTCTGTCCTGTTCCCCCGCTCCCCGCCTCCCCGACTCTCTATATGGGTACAAAGCAGGGGTATTCAGAGGGCAATCGTTATGTCAGCTTAATCTTCAGAATACATTCCCAGAACGGCCGCTGTCGCCCCATACCTGGGTTGTTAGCCACCGGTGTCACGTGTCAGTAGTCCGCTCCCTACCCACCACTCCACCCACCCCTGCCACTCCACCCCACCACCACTCCACCCACCACCACCCCCTCCACCCCCACCACCTCTACTCTACCCCCACCACCTCCACCCCCGGGCTCCATAGTGTGGGTCTTGAATCCATTCAACAACAACAAATACACATGCTCACACATGCACTCACGCACACAAGGCAACCACTGTTTAGAAAAAAAGAATGCGAAGTCATAAATATAAACTCAGGAACAAAGAACAATACATGTTTGGAAAAAAATAAATTACAACAAAATACAATCTAAGAATCTGAAAACCCCCAGAGCATAGTGGCACATGCCTTTAATCCCAGCACAGACACCCATATTTCTGTGATGTACATAGTGAGTTCCAGATCACCAGTCAGGGCTACAAAGTGAGACCCTGTCTCAAAAAAACAAAAAAAAAAAAAACAAAAGAAAAACTCCAATAAGCATATTAAACACCATATAAAACAGAAAATTGCATGAAGTTTCAGCAATTGCCTTAAAATCCCTCTAATTTCCTTTTTTTCTTTATACTCAAAGAAAAAATACAAAATTAAGAACTCAATTATCTTCTTAAATCATTGTCATACTGCATTGAAATGCATAAATGTGTAATCAAATTACATTGCATATAGTGGAGAAAGTGGTGTGGGAATTGTGTCATGAAGTGTTTTTCCTTTCTCTGCTACTACATTTTTTATTTTATGTTTTATTTATTAGTAGTACACCTGATTTTAGGGGGTGAGCATGCCATGGTGTCCATTGGTGGTCAAGTCTCCCCTTCCTCCTTCACATGGGTTCTGGGGATTGAATTCTGTCATCGTTGAAAAAGCAGCTTTGCCTGTGGAGTCATCTTGCCAATCCTATAGTGCTACACCTTAGTAATATCTTATTTCAGCTTTCCTTCAACACGTGGAGGGGAGGGGAGGGATGAAATCCAGGCTCCCAAGCATGCTAGACAAGCACACTACCATTGATTGATTGATGCTTCTTCATCCAAGTTTGCTTTTTTTATTTTGAGACAAGGTCTCACTTCATTTCCTAGGCTGGTCCAAATTCCTGGGCTCAAGCAATTCTCCTGCCTCTGCTACCTCAGCAGCTGAGACTCCAGATATGCACCACCATGTCAACTCTGAGTGCTGTTTCATTTGAGCCAAATTAACGTTTAAAGCCTAAGTGTGCCAGGTCCACGCCACTGTGTGGGGACAGTCCTCATATGTGTGGCGTATAAACACAGGGACTAAACCATTTTTATCTGGCACAATTCTCATCCAAAAGAGGAGGAAAGCAGTGCATTTATCGTTGTATTCTCCTGACAGGAGAGGGCATCCATCTTGACAGGGGGAAGCTCTGCTTGTAGTCTTGCATGTCTGCAAGTCCCACAGTCCAGCTTCTGGCTCCAAACTTTCTAGACCCTTATCTCCTCCCACTGTCTGGAGCCTTGGGACACACTCAGAACACAGCAGGATTTTTGGTCTCACACTTCCGTGTCACAGTGCCAAGTGAGCAGCTCACACTTTCTGAAAGCAGTTCCTTCAAAGATATGCCTAGTTACACCCAGAAGTAGCTGTCAGCTACCACATTCCCTAAACATACTGTCAATTACCAAACTGCACACCAGACGTAAGAGAGCAGAGAGTCTGAGTCTGACAGTGGTCTTAACCAATCGCAAGGAAATGTTTACATATTCTGTTCTTCATTTATTTACTTTGAGACGGTCTCACTAGGTAGACCAAGTTGGCCTGGAACTCTGAACATGAACCACCACACCAGGTTTGCAAATTTTATAAACATGTAGCCCAGATGATTTGATATCTACACACATTTTTAGCTGGTTCATTGTTAACACTTTCTACAAGTCACACTCATTTGCTTATTTTCCCACCCCAGTTAATATATAAAACCAACATCACCTCAGATAGTTAGTAATCACAAGCTGAAGTTTCATCAGCAAATTCCAGTGTATAGCTTTTAAATAGTAAAATCCTAGAAAAAGGATGAATCACCATACCAGGCTTGCAAATTTTTACAAATATATGGCCCTGGAAAGGCTTTGCTGGGGCCCTTCCCAAGGATTTGGAATAAGCCATGCGGGAAATGTCCTTGACACATCATTAGCCTAGCAATAAAGGTTTGTCTTTAACTTAACTGGATCTATTTTTATTTACTCTGTGTGTGTGTGTGTGTGTTGTCAGGGATTGGACTCAGGATGTAAAGCTATATCCTTAGTCCTCAGCTTCATCTTTTAAAATAGAAAAATGGTAGCTGGAAAGATACCTCAGTGGTTAAGGCCCTTGCTGCATAATCAGAAAGACAAGAGTTCAGATCCAGCACCCACATAACACACACTAACACACATACAGAAAAATAAACAGATACATCTTTATAAATAAAATGGAATAGTTGCCTTACTGTCGATTTATATGTATTAATATTTAAAATATTGTATGTAGACCATGCTTGTATTAGAGCATAGAAATTACAGCTGTTTATTCTTTATTATGATCCTTCTTGGTTTGATTATCCTCTGAGGTCTCATGTGTTGAAATTTAATTTGTGGGGAGTTAAAAGGATGGAAATTTGACCCAACTGTGGAGGTGCTGAGCTAAAGCCTCAGGTGATTAGGATTTGATAAGATCCCTTCACTTTCCTGTTATCCGAATAAAAAGAAAGGCCAGAAGAGTCATAGGACATGCATAGTTCATCTCCAGCCACGGGATATCCTGCACAACTCTAGGTCTCTGCCAGCTAGAAGGCCTTCACCAGATGTGGCCACTCAATGCTGCAACTCCAGAACCAAAATAAACTTATTTTC